GTAATGGTGAATTATTCACGTTGTATCCTAGGTAAGTATGACCACAACAATAATTCATGGAAACGTTATATCCGCACTAGTATTTTACTAGGTCATTATAGTATACTAATTTCAAATAATAATCATTATTATTACTGTTAGTTTGTTTGTTGCCTCTACAATGTGTAAATATATTTCTTACGATAAAAACCAGAGATTCATGTACGTGTATGAGCAGAAATAATGGTATTAAGTTTCATAGAAATATTTAAATATCATAGACTAAAACATAAATGTAAAAACCAAATAAAAACCAGAGATGCATGTATGTGTATGGGCAGAAATACTTGTACGAAGTTTCATAGAAATATTTAAATATCATAGATTAAAACATAAATGTAAAAACCAAATAAAAACCAGAGATGCATGCATGTGTATGGGCAGAAATACTTGTACGAAGTTTCATAAAAATACTTAGACATCATAGATTAAAACATAAATGTAAAATCATTGTATTCGATTTTTCTTTATAAAATTAGAGCTGTGCTCGGAATGCCAATATCAGCAAAGGAGATTTTTTTTATATTAAAAGCAATAGTACTACCTCAGGTGAGATAGCTTATCCATACTTGAGGAAGAGACACTTTAACTTGATTTTTTTATTATTTTTTGGTTAGTTTGTTTGTAATTAATCACAAAGCTACACAAAGGGCTATCTTTGCTCTGCCCACTACGGGTATCGAAACACGGATTCTAGCGTTGAAAGTCCGCAGACATACCGCTGTGCCACTTTAGTTAGTCATTTATTGTTAAGAGTTATATGCATTTTTGGTTTCACTTATGTCTTTCATTGAAGACAGTACCAGAGAAGACCTCTGACTTTTACGTATGTAATCACTGGTAAAATCAACCATACAAAATACATATCAGATGACCAAGCGCACACTGAGAGAATTAACCCTCATGTAAAATGTATAAAGTGGTTGATTCTCTCAGATTATCAAGTATGAAGAGTATGACCTAATAGTTAGCATGCCAGACTTTGAGTCTGAAGGTCTACGGTTCACATCCCATTGTCGTAAAATCATGCTTTGTACTTTGGGGTCATGGTTGCATTTCACTATACGATCAGAGCTGCCAAAGAGTTAACAGTAAATGTTGTTGACTACCTGCCTTCACTCTAGTCTACCAGTTGAAACTTAAGGACTATTAGCACACATAGCCCTTGTGTGTAAATTTACTCAAATATGCAAAACAAATAAACTTTATTAGACTTTCTTCATATCTTTATATAAAAGTAAGAGAATAGTGCTGTGCTATCATTATGGGCACTCATTCTCTTTACGTACATATTTGTAGAATCATCTTGAAATACAAATCAATAAAGTGTCTGTTTGTTGTTCACATTTTTTTTATATTGTGTCCACTTTCTTTCCTTCATTTCATCCTGTTTTGTCACCTACTTTACCTCCATGATACTTATTAATCTGAACCACTAATTAGAGTGGTTACTATTCTTACTTAAAGTGGATTAATCCCTATAATGATCTATTTGCCAAGAACCAGATTTATTTGTTATTAGTTTTCCTTTTTTTTGACAAGTTGGCATTTCAGGGGATTTTTTTAGTTCTCTTGTATAAAATAACTTTGGACTTTGATACAACTTATAAATCGTATTTTCCAGATGAAGAACGTATGGGTTAAGGGAAAGGAGTTTGATGTTTAAGGTAGACGTCGATCAGAGAAGGTAATAAGGTCTATAAGAATTATTTTGGACACTGTTTTTTAGCTATTGCTGTAGACTGACATAGTGAGACCTCAATATGGATACAAATTCAGTATATTGGAACCTACAGAGCTACTGAGCTTTCACTTCAGCTTAAACAAGCATGGTTAACTGAGGTCCAAGCTATGTATGGCCTGTGGTCTGATGGTTTTATGATTAAGTGGAACGATATCTTCAGCATATCTAGCCTGTTAG